GGGACTAGGAGTATTAAGTAACCTGATAAGAATCTATGAATTGATTTAATTCAGTTAAATTCCCCATATATACAAAGAGAAGAAATAAATACTTGATAATCTAAAGAATTTGACATTAATAATGCTATTATGTCTTCTGATTAGTAGTTAGTGAATGTACAGCTTAAAGTTTGCATAATATATGTCCAAACCAAGTTCACTTTTAACGGTTTGAAAAAATTTGGGCATTGGGTATATGATATTCATTATAATGAAGGGTTTTTGTATTTCACAATGAATGAAAAACAAAACGATATTGCTGTTTTTACTGACGTTTCGCTATTTAATGCTGCTTATAGCTTTATCAAAGTATTACTAAACCGGAATTTACAAAATCTCAGCATATATATAACAAACAGTTAGGGGGTGAGAAAATAGACATAGGTCAAGTTAAAGGGACATATTGAAAGTAAAAATAACAATGACGATCACTAAACTAAATAACAAAGATAATAGTGCGTCTGTTATGGCATCAAAACAAAGTTTACTAACTTGATCATCGTTCGTCTGTCTGGGGGCATTTTTAGTTGTCAATTTGGTGAATTGGTAAAGATAGCAAAACCATCATGTTTATATTTTTGGATTTGATAAGTGTGTAAGATTATAAAAGCAGCGTGTGTTTACATAATGAAAGTGCTTATCACATTCGTGTTGGTTTTGTCACTTGATGGGGGGAAGGAGGTGTTGTAACCAGGTCAGATTCTGTTTTAGTCCATCATTCCTATTCAGGCAATTTTGATTCCACTTGATATGACTTCTGAAGTTTTTCTGGATTATTTCAACATTGTCAAAATCAATTTTGTGACCTGATTCGATAGCATGTAGACCTATGGCTGATGATTTTTCAAGTCTTTGCAGTTCAACAGGATTTCTCGGTGATCGAAGAGATGCTCTACGGTGTTCATTTCTTCTGATTTTGATTTCTTGAGATGTTTGTCCGATGTATATCGCATCACATTCCAAGCATTTTATTTTACAGACACAATTAGATAGAGAATCTTTGGGGATTTGGTCTTTTAAATGGACAAGGTTGTTTCGTAGTGTGTCTGATGTTTTGAAGAAATTTCTAATGTCGAGCTGATTGAGTACTCTTCTGATATCGTCTGACGTCTCTGCTCTATATGGAATGACGACTGTTGATGTCCATGTTTTCGGAATGCGTTTTTGGCCATACTTAATGTCTGTGTTGATTTCGTTGATGAAGTTCCTTGGGTAGTTGTTTTGCTTGAGAGTTTCAGTAATGTTTGAACACATTTTCTTCTTTTTCTTTCTCGTTGGTTATCAAAGAGTGTGCTTGTCTAAGAAGACTTGAAACAACTGAAATCTTTGCGCTGATGGGGTGTGATGACTTGAAGTCTAAATATTTATTTGAGTGGGTTTTCTTCCTGAATATGGATATACTAAAATGTCTGCTTTCCCTCCTCTTAACTAGCCAGGCAGTCTAGAAATGGTAGTTCACCGACGTCTGACTCTGCTTCCGAAGTGAATTGGATTCTGGGAGATACACAGTTTATTTTCTCCAGGAATGAATTGTGCAGATCTCGTTTTAGTACTACAAAAGTTTTGCATGTTAAACAAATTCATTAAACAATCCTTTTGTTTCAGCAGAAAATTTTAATTGTCTAATGATGTATTATCGGGTTCAATGCATTCAAAATTCATTATTGGACGTCTAACCAAAGTAAACAAATTCAACTAATCTTGTCAAATTCTGCTGAAATTTGATGATGTTTTTCTCTGAGTAAAAAAAGGAAAGGAAGAATGTTGCATACATTTACATGCACAGACACGCAGACATATACTCATCTTATTCATATTATTGCATAATTTTTCCATTGGTCAGTGAGTGCTGGATTCGAGTCCTGGTTGTGGAATATTATTAATCAGCTTGAATGCAAGAACATCCAGCTAAGGAGTCTTAAGTAGGACTAAGTGTAAATTCTAGTGTAAATTCTAAATTCTAGTCTTTGGTCGAAGAAGCAGCAAAGAAAGGACTCCAGGTGAGCATAGACAAGACGGAGGTTATGAAAATAACCAACCAACCACCAACAACAACATCAACATCCAGTGCCAATCACTATCAAAGGGAGGGATTTGAAAGAGGTTACTTCATTCACTTATCTAGGGAGCATTGTCTCAACTACAGGCACATGGAACGGACGAGAATGTCAAATCGAGAATCGGGAAGGCGAGAAACACATTCATCAACCTGAAACCAATCTGGAAATCTTCGTCACTCAGCATCAACAACAAACTGATTCGGATTTTCAATACAAACGTCAAGTCAGTTTTGCTGTAAGGATCAGAAACTTGGCGGCGGGTCACAAAGAATATTTCCAACAGCCTGTTGCAGACCTTTATCAACAACTGCCACCTTCGCTCTATACACTGAAGATCAGATGGCTGGAAAGAATCACCAACAAGAAACTATGGGAACAAACAAAACATGAACCAATCGCCCAACAAATATGCAGGAGAAAGTGGAGATGAATTAGACACTCGCTGAGGAGGCCACTGAGTGACTTCGTGCGTCAGGCCAACGCTCGAGAGGAACCCGAAAGGGAAGCGGCGAGTAGGACATCCAAGGGTGACATGGAAGAGATCGTGTGAAGAGGAGTTGAAACAGTATGGACTAGTATGGATGCAGTTGAAAAGTACAGCAGAAGACAGGAGCAAGTGGAGACGTGTTATTGAAGCCCTATGTTCCACTAGGAACCCAAGGGGACAATAATAATAAATAATAATAACAGAGGACAACTTATTTCGGCCAGCCTCACACACATGCACACAGGTATTTGCAGTGGTTGATAGAGGTGTGTCTGTGTCACGAGATTAATACTGCCTAAGGGTCATTGCAACTCTACACATCATCATCACAGAACAAAGCATAGAATGGCAGTCAAACCTCTGCCTTAACTTCACCGACTTCGTAAAGGCCTTCGACAGTGCTAACCGAGGAGTAATTTAGAAACTATTTCAACACTACGGCATACCTCAAGTTTTTATCGGTTTGGGAACCTTCCCCAATCAGCATAAGGAACAAGATTCCGATTTTCAATGCAAATATGATTTCAGTCCTTCTATATGGGTCAGAAACTTGGACTGGGTATCACGAAAAGGATTTCCAACAGACTACCGAAGCCTTTTATCAACAGCTGCCTTCGCATTCTCCATAGTGAACGTCAAACGCCTGGTGGAAAGAATTAGCAACAAGAAACTGTAGATGGTGACAGAGCAACCAAGAAACTATTGCTGAACATGCTGAGGAGACCGTCGAATGACATAGCGCGCAGTGCAGTCCGTCACTCGAGTGGAATCCGAATGGAAAATGATGAGTGGGCGTCGGTGCGACGGTGACATGCGGGGGATCGTGTGAGGAGGATATCAAAGACTGTGGGCAATCGTGAGGCCAGCTACAGAGGATAGCGGAGAGTAGAACAAAGTGGAGACGTATTGTTGGAGCCCTATGTTCCACAAGGAATCCAACGGAACAATAATAATAATGTGTTACAATGTCAGTAAAAAATTGAGAGTTGCGGAATAGATCAAATAAAGTAAAGTTATTTTGATTGGACACTGGTAACTAGCCTGATGTGTCTAGTCCTTTCTTTGTTGCAGACTGAATTCTATCAGTGAGTCAAGTTTGCAGTGTGACCACCATGTCACTAGGTAGCTCGCCATCACGGTGTACATTGTTTATGATGATATTAGATGGTTGGAGGCAATCGGCCACAGGAAGCCTTGGACCTAGGTTTCGTGCTAGTTGACACTCATCAGCAAGGCGTATCTGAAACATTCAAGGAACTCATGTCCCTTCTGAGATTCGAACTCGCATCACCCAGTGCTGCCTGCAGTCAGAGACGTTACCACTGATCTATTTGGGCTTATAGTATTCAGCGTGCACCAAAGAAAGGACTAGACGCGTCACACTAGTTACTAGTGTCCAATCAAAATACCCACTACAGCCCTACAGGAGGTCAATCGCGAGCCAGCCAGAATACCTCAGTGGTAACGTCTCTGACTGCAGGCAGCACTGGGTGACGCGGATTCGAATCTCAGAAGGGACATGAGAACCTTGAAGATTTCAGATACACCCTGCTGATGAGTGCCAACTAGCATGAGACCTAAGTCCAAGGCTTCCTGAGGCCGATTGCCTTCAACCATCTAATATCACCAAAGCATAATTATATTTCAGTGGTTTATACACAATGATAAATTTTTGTTGTTTGATAATATTTCGAGCAAAAATTACTGCCCGTGTTCACACCAAGTGCTGGAATTGTTTTGTTTGTTTTTATTTCACACATTTATGATTTGTACTCAATCAGTTTGTGAGTAACTTCACTGTCGTCTAAAGTTCGAAGTCATTAGGTATTCTTAAAATAGAATTGTCAACTTCTATGGGCACAAATGACAAAAAGGGATTAATTCTAGTTGAACAGTTTCTCAAGGCTAAAATTTTACGGTTAATAATTAACACCAAATTATTTTGTCCTCATTATCACATTCAGCGATGTATAATTCAACCAATCAGAATTGAGTAGATTTCTAATCACACTTTGCGATAAATTGCTGTAGGTTATGTTTGTCACACTACAGAGTATCTCTGTTTATTTCCATTGAGCGCAAACCAACACACTGATGCATCATTAGACATATGAGAAGAGTAGAGAGAAAGAGAAGTAGGTAGACAGACTAATTTCCCTGATTGAATTAATAATTACGCTGTAATAACAGTAATATAGCAGCTAAAGTAGATTAACCAGCCAATTGAATGTATGTCCTTCTCAACTGCTTCTCCTGTCCTCTATGTGTTAATGTCCACTGATTTTCTAAGGTGGGAAAAGTTTGCTAGAAAAAAAATAAGATTGTATGGAATTTTTCTTAATTTTCATCTTCCCTAAAAGTGGTGTAAATGAGTTGTTTAATTTTTCTTTTTTTTCGCGCGCGCGCGCGCACAGGCGCTACAGAAACCGAAACAAACATTGAACCACAAAAATCCAAAGCAACCTGCCTGTCTATCTATCGATCTATTTTACACACCCCCTTCGTACATATCAATTGAAGACGGTCAGACGGACAGACAGATAGACAATCTATTAGTCAGTCATTTGCTGCCCTTATCTGTGTATGTGTTTATCTTACGAACACTGACCTTCAAAACAGTAGCCAATTAAACTGATAGCCTTTAGTTAACAGAAAGGTCAATTATTTTAAACCTCAAAAACCAATAGTATTTTGCTTTATTCTACCCTGCTGATAGTCTATATTTTGTGTGTGCGATTGTGTGATATAATGACGAAAGACGAAGTGGTTGTTCCCCCTGGCTTAAGGGAACTATTACAAGAATTGACTGTGTCTATCCTACGTGAACGTCCAGTGGATTTAATTCAATTCGCTATTGATTTCTTAACAATGAAGAAAGCGGCTGCAGAAAATCGTCCTAACAAATCTTCAGCTGATACTGATGAAGATGATGATGATGAAGCAGAGCCTATGCCTATTCCACCACAACGTGCAACACGAAGAGCTGGTGTAGCTGCAGAAAGTTATGATCCAGAGAAAGATGACAGTGCTAATACAGTGAAAGTTGTCCATCCAAAAACAGAAGAACAACGTCATCGATTAACACAAGCTACTAAGGATATTTTATTATTCCGATGTCTTGATGATGATCAAATGAAGGATGTCATTGATGCTATGTTTGAAAGACATGTGTCGCCTGGTGAGAAAGTGATCACACTTGGTGAAGATGGGGATAATTTTTATGTTATTGAAAAAGGCGTTTATGATATCATTGTAAAAGTTGGCAATGAAGAGAAAACTGTTGGAAAATATGATAATAAAGGATCATTCGGTGAATTGGCTCTGATGTATAATACACCACGTGCTGCTACAATATTAGCTAAAACTGAAGGTGTCGTCTGGGCAATGACTCGTGAAGTATTTCGTTCTATTGTGTTGAAAAAAGCCTTTGAAAAACGTCGTCTCTATGAAGAACTCCTTAATCAAGTACCAATTTTAGAAAGTCTCAGTGCATATGAAAGAATGAGTATTGCTGATGCTTTAAGAACTAAAATTTTTGAAGCTGGTGACCAGGTTATAAAACAAGGTGATCCTGGAGATGAAATGTTCTTTGTTGAAGAGGGTAAAGTACGTATTAAAATGAAAAGAACTGGAGAAACTGAAGAGAAGGAGGTGGCTGTCATTGAAAAGGGAGGTTATTTCGGTGAACTTGCCCTGTTGACAAGTCATCCACGTGCAGCGTCTGCATATGCTGATTGTCGTACTAAACTAGCTGTCCTGGATGTCGGCAGCTTTGAACGTCTTCTTGGACCGTGTTTAGATATACTCAGAAGGAATATTGATGATTATGAAGCGAAATTGAAGAATATCTTTGGTAGTTTGGATAAAGTACCAGAATTGAGACGTTAACTGTCATGCTCTCTGTCTATCTATCTGTCTCTCTTCGTCATTATTTTCATTTTTTGAACAATATGATCTACAATATGTCTACATTAAATTTGAGCATACTTTTTGTCATCAAATGGGATATTTGACGGTGTGGGGAGGGGAGAACCACTAGGATACAGCATAGTATGAGTGAGTATATTATCTTTCTTTCTCTGTCTTATTCATATCTCTAAATTTTTGAAGATATATATATATATATATATACTATAAATATCTTATATGTACATATTTTTGATGGTGTCCAATGTATTATTCAATGAATAGTCGTTACGTAATTCATTCGCTTATTTGACTCACATTGATGTTTTCTCCGCATTAACTTTCACTTTCTGAATAAAGCTACTAACTAAGTGCCAGCAGTCCCCTCACCCGCCGTAATTTTAATTATCACTGTTATAGTTACGAATGTCATTATTATTATTACTACTACTACTACTGTTATTACTATTGTAGTTCTTATGTTGATCGATTTTTACACATTTTAAGACAGGCGACAATTTACAAAGACAAATTGAATCTCTCCGCCTTTCGATACTAATGTGATATATCTATATCTATATGCGTTAGATATATATTATTCCGTTGAGAGAGGATAGATCTTGTTTCTTTTCTGTGTGCTTCTCTGCTCTTCTCTGCTCACCACAGTTGTACTCAACATCAGTGTTGAGTAGTTTTATTTTTGTCATTGTTTTATTGTCTGATCGAACTTATTTATGCTCTTTGTGAATACATTTATACGGAGGGGGAGGGGAATGCAACCGCGCCTCCCCTCCTCGCCTGCATCGTCATCATCATCAACATCATCCCCAAGATCTCAGTCGTCGAACACAGTTTTCTATGCTCTACAGCGTTTCACACTGCTGTTGTCTGTCAGTTAGTTTCTCATGTGCACACATACACATACAAGTTTTCATTTCTTACAACATTATGTCATCAAACCTTTTTTTCCTCCATGTATGTATGTTTGTACTTGAATGTGTGTACTTACGTGTGATGTAGATGAGTTTTGTGCTTTGTACGGCTGACTGTATCATTTTGATTCTCGATCGATGATATTGTCCTTTTCATATACGCTCACTTATCTATGCTCATTGACCTTTACTGTTTTGCTGTCTGTGAAATTATGATGACCTATACATAAACGGTACACGGATGAAACACACAATATTGGTTTAATAATAGCGCATAAATTACATCCATACATACTATTGTTTATTGATTGATATGTGAGTAGTCTGGAGATCAGTCATGTTAAACAGAGGGACAGAGAGAGAGGGGATGGGAGTACTTGCTTGTTACACGTATATATATTCTTGTATGACTTCTCGTTTTATTTTGAGTAAATTCCATGGAGAATAAATTCTCTGCTTTACATTTGAGCGTTTGTTTTTTCGTTTTCTCTATTTCTCAGTCAGTTCTTTGAGTACTGTTGTTATTATTATTATTATTACTATCATTATTACTATTGTTATTATTATTATTATAATTAATACACTTTGACTATTACAGATAATATACTGAGGAATACATTTGTTTTTAAAGTTATCATTGTTGTTAATTTTGCATATACTTACATGCAGTATATATTATTATTATTGTTATTATTATTATATTATATCGTTACTCCCTTGGGTTCCAAGTGGAGCATAGGCTTCCAACAGTGCATCACTATTTGGATCCTGTTCTCTGAAATCGTCTTCAGCTAGATCCATAATCGCACATAAGCTCTTATCTCAAACGATTTCGTCATTAGGCCGTCGTCCTCCACCTGAGTGTTCGATATTGTCAGGGTAAAAAAGGTTCTTCGTTGCTAAAGTCCTTTCTTATGGAGTTATCTGATATTCAGTATGGAGCCTGGGAATGCAGTTGTCGATATACGTCTTCAGTTAGCCTATTCAAGTCTCTGAACGATTTGGAAGGATTTTTAAAATTTTAAAAAGGGTGCCTCCTAGATACATGAAAGAGGTGCCTTCCTTCAAATTTCACCTATTGATATTGGTCGTTGTTTTATGCATATCGTTAATATTATTGCTACTTAATGATAACTTGCAGAAATCAATAATATCGATTTTTCACACTCTAAATTGGCGAGAAAGAGAATATGATAATACGATACTTTTTTTTATTTCGAAATAGTGATGTATATTGAGACGAATTTTTAGATGGATGTGAAACCATATAAGTGTAATTTCTGAGCATTATTTATTAAGTTTGAAATCTTCTATCATTAACCGATATCAAATAACATTTGCAGATATGTTAAAAATTGTTCTGTATATATTATTATTATAATATTATTGTCCCCTTTGGTTCCGAGTAGAATATAGGGCTTCAACAATACATCTCCACTTTCTTCTATTTCCTACCGTCCTCTTCATCTGGATCCACGATTTCCCATAATCTCTCATTTCCTCCTCACACGATCTCCTCCATGTCACCCTCGCACTGATAACCCACTCATCGCTTCCCATTTAGGCTCCACTCGAGCCATGGCCTGGCGTGCGATATCATTCAGCGATCTCCTCAATGTATGCCCAATCCATCCTTGTTTTCTCCTGCATATTTGTTGAACGTTCAGCTTGTTGTTGGTTTGTTCCCAGACTTTCTTGATCCTAATTCTTTCTGGCCGGCTTGCCATTTGATCTTCAGTATGGAGTCGACCAGCGAAGGCAGCTGTCCATAAAAGTTTGCTATAGCTTGTTGGAAATGCTTCTCGTAAAGCACCGACTTGACAGTGGTGTTGAAAATCTAAATCTTTCGCTGTACATAAGCGTAGTTAATTTGTGTTTAGGCTGTACGCAGCTGATGAGAAGCCAATGGACAATAAAAACAATGATGGTACCATTTTATTCTGCACAAACTATCGTTGTTTGATTTCGCTTTATTCTGCAGGTCTAGAATAGTCCAGCCAGTCAGTGGACTTTGATGAAAGTTGTGAAGTCTTTGATGAATATACACTCATTGATGTAATGCATCCTGGGATCAGTAGAACAGATCAGTTATCGTCAAAAATCTCCTTTCTGAAGTGTGAAAGTAATCTGATTCCATTTCAGTAGTTAGTAGTCATATTCTTTCCTGGTTAGTTTACGTAATAGAAGTATACAGCAACATGGCTTAACGTCTAGGAAACTCGAGTTTCAGTCTATTGATCCCAGGGTCGAGTCCTGCTTCACCTTAGTTATCAGCCCTACACAGTAAGTGCCGGCGACGTGAGGTTCTTTCAGTCTGGCACACAAAACATCTGTTCTAGACAATTTACTTCAAACAACCATACGAAGATGTAAGTGATGAGACAGCCATTTTGACAGTTGTTTTATTCTGTAGAAGAAGAAACCATCTTCCTGAGTTCTTCATGTAGGCGGATATCTACAATATATTGGGTTTTTTTTGGAGTAACCACAAATCGAGGAAGTCTACAGTGATCAATAACCAAGAATCTATCGCCCAGAAGATATGTAGGAGAAAACGGAGATCGATTGGGCACACTGTGATTAGAGCGTCGAATGACATAGCTCGAGTGGAACCCGAATGAGAAACAAGGAGTTGCGCGTAGTTTCGAGGGTGACATGGAGGAGATCATATGGCAAGGAGGAATTGAGAGGTTATGGGCAATCGTGGGACCAGCTGAAGAGGACGGTAGTAAGTAGAAGAAAGTAGAGATGTGCTGTTGAAGCCCTATGTTCCAAATGGAACCCAAGGAAACGACGATGATAATAATAATAATAAAATGCAGTGACCACGTATTTTTCGGGTAAAAGTGATTGTCTGTGCTGTTTTAAGTCGATCAAGTCATAAATTTTATAATAATTGACGAAAAATATTTGAATAATCCTAGAAATTAACTTTTAGATATAGGATTGACTATTCAGTTTATGATTTCAGCAAAATCCACTATTGAATTCTTTGGTAGTCAGCATGGAAATGTGTCATATTGACTTAAGTATTATTAGACTTTCACTCAATCGGCGCTAGGTTCGAATCTCGCTCAATCCATTTACATCAACCTAAGCAACTGTGTGCGGTATCATTAATTCCTGTATAATGAATATAGCTCATTTAAATTTCTAGGTATCAATAACGAATTCTGTTTGACTGTATAAATAGCATAAAACACCAGTAATTGTTTTATCAGGATATTTTACCAAAATGAATTTTCACCAAGAATTCGATTCAATCACAAAAAACTCAGAAGCAAAGGATGCCTTGACATCTGCTTTGTTTCAAGGGAAATTGGTGTGTCGCTGGGCCTACAAGCATTTTTTGTTTAAATTTTACTCTTCAGATAGAGTTGAGTTTTGTAAATCTTAATTGCTCATCATCACAGGTGTGTTTATTCTTCTTTAATGTTGAGTTCAATAATCTAAGTAATCACGTCTACTTCGTAGTAATTGATACATAAGTGGTCTCAACACAGTGACATTTTAACAATAATAATGGCTTTATTCTGAACAATGTTTATCTAATGCACCGCTTCTTTCTGAAAGCATAAATCGGGTTCCACGCGACTGACAGAGATTGCTTATCCAAACCTGAGGAGAGATGAGCTTTTCCGTCTATTGATAATTTTAAAGGATTTTGCGATTTCCACTTCATGTCCTGTATCAAGAAGATGCCTGATAATGATACTGTTTTAGGCGTTCGTTCCCTCGAGACGTAGGCATTTCAGTACATGTTCAGAAAATCAGAGGTGTTCTGTTCTTTCTTTTCTCTCAATGTAACTTCTCCTGCAGATACATGTAAATTTGTATACACAGTTGAAGTTAACATGCGAAGGATATCTACCGACTTTTGATTGCACCAAAGAAGAGCATGATATCCGATTTTGTTTGTTTAATACCTATTTTAAATGTCTGTAAAATTAGATGCAAATATTGTAGATATGTGCTGAAAATTCCGCACTGTACCACTAGTACTGTTTCTGGAATAAAGCAAATCATTACTACTACTACTACTACTACTACTACTACTACTACTACTACTACTATTACTACTATAGACTGGAAACAGCTTAACTGCAGAATAGGCTTTGATTATCGACGTACTTAATCTTCCATTGACCTTGGCTGTAATATTTAAGGTGAATGAAAACAGGCTTTTATCTCACTGTGATTTGTTTGACAATCGAGCCTTCACATCTTCCATACTTGATAATAGCTTTATTCTGAACAGTTTTTATATTATGTGCAGAATTTTCAGCGGAGGTTATTGCACCATATTTTCTCTTCATCCAGGATCTTCAAATATAACATTAGTTGAAAACAGATCATGTGACACAGTTCTGTCTCATCTGAAGCTGAAACGACTCCATTATGATGATATGCCTTCTTTGTCTCC